GAAAATTTTATACACCATGCCAATAAAGTTCGATCATGTGGTGACTACAATAATTGAGTCCCACGACACAGACATCATGACAGTTGCAGAATTACAAGGCAGTATTGAAAGCCATGTAAGCAAAATCTTAGAGAAGACAAAAAAATCAAATGAGGAAGCCTTAAAGAGTCATGTGAATTTCAATAATGTAGTAGAATCAAGCCAAAGTGCAGAAAGTAAAGGTTGTGATAATTTCAACAATGAAGGAAGAGGAAATTTCAGAAGTAGAGGTCATGAAAATTTCAGAGGAAGAGGTAATGGTAGCTTCAATCGGTGGAGAGACAAAAATTTTAGATCAACTAATCAAGGAAAATGTGGAGATAATTTTGGACGTGCCAATCAAGGAAGAGAAAGAGGTGGTTATCAAGAAAGAAGTAATTCTAATTGCTTCCAATGTGGAAAGTTCGGACACAAAGCTGCTGATTGTAGATTTCGACAACAAACAAATGTGGCAGAAAATCAAAATCAAAATATTGGTGAGAGTTCTTCCAACCCACAAAGTTTATTTCTAGCCACTAATAATTCTGCAAAAAACAAAAAAATTTGGTACTTGGATACTGGATGCAGCAAACACATGTGTGGTAAAAAAGAGTTATTTTCTTTCCTGGATGAAATAGTTAACTCAACCATAAAATTTAGGAATAACACAAATATTCCAATATTGGGAAAAGGCCAAATTACTATTAGATTGAAGGATGGATCTCAAAATTACATTTCTGATGTTTTCTATGCCCCTGGTCTCCATCATAACCTGTTGAGCATTACCAAGGTAAAGATGACTCCCATCGCTTATTCCCTTTGAAAATTCAACATGAAAAATTTCTATGTTTGAGTTCTATCATATCAAATGATGATTGGTTGTGGCATATGCGGTTTGAACATTTTCACTTTTCTGGATTAAATTATCTGTCAAAAAAGGAATATGTTTTTGGTTTGCCTATTATAAATGGTCCCTATAGTGTATATGAGACTTGCTAATTGGGAAAGAAGCACAGAGAATCCTTTCCAACTGGAAAATCCTGGAAAGCAAGAAAGCCACTGGAGATTGTGCATTCAGATTTATATATGATTGAGATATCAACTAATTGCGGTAGCATGTATTTCATTACTTTTATTGATGACTTTAGTAGAAAAGCTTGGGTGTATTTTTTGAAACAAAAATCAGAAGTTTGTGATGCCTTTAAGTCATTTAAGGCATTTGTGGAGAAACAAAGTGATTGCAAAATTAAAGCATTAAAGACAGATAGAGGCCAAGAATATCTCGCTTGAGCAGATCTTTTTTATCAACACAGAATTTAGCATTAACTGACAACCAGATACACTCCCCAACAAAATAGAGTAACAGAAAGGAAGAACAGGACAATCATGGACATGGTAAGATGCATGTTAAAGGCAAAACAATTGCCTAGAGAATTTTGAACTGAAGCAGTTTCTATTGCTGTGTATATTTTGAACAGGTGTCCAACAAAGAGTGTTTATGATAAAACACTAGAAGAAGCTTGGAATGGAAGGAAGCCCTCAAGTCGGCATCTCAGAGTTTTTGGGTGCATAGCATATGCCTATGTACCAGATCAACTGAGAAAGAAGCTTGATGACAAAGGAGAGAAGTGCATCTTCATCGGTTATAGCACCAACTCAAAGGCGTACAAGCTTTACAATCCAGTGACAAAAAAGGTAATTATCAGCAGAGATGTAACCTTTGATGAAGAAGGAATGTGGAATTGGTCTTCTAAAGCCCAGAGAAAGCCTTTAGGAATTCCAGAAAACTATGAAGAGGAGAATGATGATGTAGATGCAACACATGATGAGTCAGAAACATTAAGTAGACCACAGAGGCAAAGGAGACTACCAGCCAAATTGGAGGATTACGCTGTGGGTAATGAAATTGACCCATCTGATGAAGAAATTATCAATTTTGCCTTATTTACAGATTATGAGCTTGTAACATTTAAAGAAGCTTCAAATAATCAACATTGGAGAAAAGTAATGGATGAAGAAATCCATGCTATTGAAAAGAATCAAACATGGGAGCTGACAGACTTACCAACAGACAAAAAACCAATTAGAGTAAAGTGGTTATACAAAACTAAGTACAAACCTAGTGGAAAAATTGACCGCTTCAAATTAAGGTTAGTAGCAAAAGGGTACAAACAAAAGCGAAGTATTGATTTTTTTGAGGTATTTGCTCCTGTAGTGAGATTAGATACAATTCGTATGCTTATCTCTCTATTAGCTCAAAATAATTATCAAATGGATGTTAAGTCTACTTTTCTGAATGACACTTTGGAAGAAAAAGTATATGTTGAGCAGCCTGCAGGATATGAAGTTGAGGGAAAAAAAGATAAAGTCTATAGATTGAAGAAGGCATTGTATGGCTTGAAGCAGGCACCGAGGGCGTGGTATAAAAAGATTGATTTTTACTTTATGCATAATGGTTTCTAAAGATGCCCGTTTGAGCATACTCTTTATATAAAAAATGTTGAACCTGGAGATTTCCTTATTGTATGCTTGTATGTTGATGATTTAATTTTTTACTAGCAATAATCTCAAGATGATGGCAAAATCCAGGGAGGCTATGACAAGACATTTTGAAATGATAGATTTGGGCCTAATGTCCTATTTTCTAGGCATTGAGGTCATTTAGCAAGAAGGAGGAATTTTCATTTCTCAAAGGAAATATGCTGATGATATCCTGAAGAAGTTCAAGATGAATAATTCAAAACCAGTTTCCACACCAATTGAAGAAAAATTGAAGCTGACAAGAGAAGTTGAAGGTAAGAGAATTGAACCAACTTACTACAAGAGCTCGATTGGAAGCCTAAGATATTTGACTACTACTAGACCAGATATTGTCTTTGAAGTAAGACTGCTCAGTAGATTCATGGAAGAGCCATGTGCATGTCATGTACAGGGAGCAAAAAGAATTCTCAGATATATCAAAGGTACTCTAACCGAAGGAATTTTTTATGCTAACAATAATGATGTAAAACTTGTTGGATACAAAGATAGTGATTAAGCAGGAGATGTGGAGACAAGAAAAAGCACGTTAGGGTATGCATTTCATCTTGGTAGCGGTGTAATATCATGATCTTCAAAGAAACAACCAGTTGTAACTTTCTAAATGGCCGAAGCAGAATACATAGTAGTAGCTAGCTGTGCAACTCAGACAGTGTGGCTGAGAAGAATTTTGGAAGTGATGCATCAGAAGCAAAATGTCCCTACCAAGATATTTTGTGATAATAAGTCTGCAATTACGCTATGCAAAAATCTAATTTTTCATGGACGATCCAATTATATAGATATTCAATTTCACAAAATTCGAGAGTTAATAGCTGTGAAAGAAGTGAAAATTAATTATTGTCACATTGAAAATCAAATTGCAGGTACTTTTAGTAAGCCATTAAAGGTTAAATTGTTTTACAAATTGAAGAAAATGCTTAATATAATAAAAGCTTGATTTAAGGGAAGCACTGTCAGAAACTTTATTAAATCAAGTTTGAACTAGATATTTCTTTATGAAAAGGCAATCAAATTTTATTGATTTGCTAAGAGGCATTGCAGGCACCAAATTACTTTGGTAGGCATTCAGAGTATGACACAAAGTCAAAGGGATAGATAAGGCAATAATTTGTTTCTTCACAAGATGGTTTACTAAAATATTTTAATATTGCATGTTGAAGCCTATAAAAGACATTCTTCTATACGAGAATTTTGAATCGATTTGAGAATTGAGATATTTAGCGTTCTTCCTCTCATTTTCTCGCTGTGCGTGTGTTTGTGTCAAAAAATATTTCTGGGTATACTTATAATGGCTCACTGGTATCAAGAGACAAATTACCAATCTCAAACAACGATTAATCTATATGCAAAGGAACGCGTACTCATGAATAACATGTAAGATGAATACCGTCTGCTCCGTGACGGCTCTTATTTGGAATATGATTTATCATCTGCGAATAGGTCACTCAGTAACTTTCTACTATGAAGCAAGAAGGTTCAGCAAACTTATGGGCATTGTGCCTACTTTTGTATAGTAAGTACAATGGTTCAACATTCAAGTAACACTAACAACATAGAATTATTGTATAGTAACTTGCTAACTGGCTCTATCCAACATCCAACTTTTAACACTGAGGCAATTTGCCTACTCTTCTTGTCATTTCACTTATCAAATATCCAAACTCGGGGCAAACAATGGATCATTAGTAACCTTTAGTCTATATATACATCTAGAAATGAGTCTGTGGGCCTTTGTTCTCCTCTCAAATCGGGTTATCTTCAGTAAAAATGCTCTTTGAAAGTGAAAGCACAAAGGCGACGTAAGCTTTAAAGAGAATACTCGCGGTGGATCTGAGGTCGGAAATTTCAATTTTGCAAAAGACAATGTGCAACTGGGGTTTTCCCTTGTCAAACCAACTTATCTTACAAAACTGGTTTCTTTATCATCACATCAACAAAAATTGAGACACCCAAGAGTTGTGGTACGAGATAAAGTACGTTGAAAATATGAGTCATTGTACGCAAATGATAAATTGTACCTTATCTGCTATTTTGCTTTCTTTCTGCTACTGTTCGTCCTCCCTCTTTTTTGCGCTTCGCTTTTCATTTCTAAACAACGGTATTGTGTATAGAAGGAATTAGTCCTTTCCGTTAAAAATTTACATGACATTGTCATCGAATATTTTTTATACTCATCTCATTCTTATTATAAAATTTGACAAAATCCAACCTCCTTAATATTATATAAAAAAATTAACACAAAATGTTTACACAGAGATAATCAATTGTTGTTATATAGGCGTATTGACCCATCTGCAATATTTTCGCTTTATTGTAAGAATGGTAACAATCTGTTTCCTATCCTGTAGCATTTTGTTATCTTTTGTTATCGGATTATATATTTATAGGCTATTTTTGTATCACTTCAAACACAAAAATAACAAAGAAAAACAGACTTTGTCAAATCTCTTTAGTTTAGAGAATCAGGCTCTTTAAGTATATCTTCCCCCGTAATTGGTGCTCATGAGTGAGGACATAGATACAAGGAGGACATAAACTGACATGAAAATCCTGGAATGGATCCAAACAACACACATTATTCATAGAGTGGCAACAATTTGGGAAGCTTCAAAAAATGAACAACAATTGAAGAACTACGTCGTACTAATATGAGCAAAACAGAAACAGCGATTTAATTTAGGGGATTAGTCTTGGGCCTTATTTCGATTCCTTGAACAACAATGCCACCCTTCCAATCACCACTCTTGATCTCATAAACACCCATTTCCAAGTCCTTGTCCTCTCCTCCTTCGTTGAAGAACTCTCCCAATTCCACCTCCAACCACCCATCTCCTCTCTGCTTCGGATACTCAAGATCAACATTACTATTACTATTATTATTTTCCATAACAGGTGCTGCTTGCGCCTCAACCATAAACCGTGCACGATTGAATACACGGCGAGGAACAATCTGATACCTTAGCCTCCGTTCTCTTTCAGGATCCAAGAAAACGGTTCGCTTGCAAGTATCACTTTCACCAATTCCAACACACACTTCAACTGATTGGTATTCGAAGCCGTAGGTTCCAGCACGGCTTGGCTTAAACACAAGGTATGCCCCATACAACGTTGTTGGGGACAGCATGCCAGTGTTCATCCAGGCCCTAATTTCCAACCAACACACACTCACAAGTTCAGCCACCTCAGAAAACCTGCAATTCAAATCTAATTAATTGATCAATAAAATAATTGAGATGTCAAATAAAATTAATTAACATTCAAACTAATTACCTGGCCTCTGGAAGAGAAATCCATTTCCAATACCTTGGAGTGTCTCCCCATACAATGAAAAGGCTCCTCGCCGATAACATGTAGCATTTTTTCCCGTATACTTTATCCAGTTGAAAACTCTGTATCATTCCATTTTTTTGAAACAATTAACCTTGTTACAAAAAAGACTGGACTGATTTAATTTGAAATATTCAGTTTAATGAGCGATGGATCTAAGTATTAGAAATAGTTAGGTGGTGAAAAAATAACATTTATAAAAAGGGTAGCATATATTATGATAAAAAGTATTGAAAGAGAAAGTAGGCACCTTTTTACCGTCGTCTATGAGGAGGGGCTTTTGGGAGAGATAGAGATAGAGGTCCTTCTTAGAATGGATAGATAAGGAGGAAAAGTGGGAAACGATGGTGCTGCAATCGGAGGGTAAGAATTTATCCCAGACAGCGTCAGATTCAGCGGCGGATCTGAAGGTGGATGAAACCAAGGAGAGTCTGCAGACTTCACGAGGAGTTATGAAGGAAAGAACATTTGCTATGCACCCTTCGGGTAGATTGTTCAAGCCCACACCTTCTTCTACCATCGTGTGATAACAAACACAATCGCAAGTTTGGTTCTTTGGGGCTTGTGTTTAAGGGGGGGTTGTCTCCTTATGTATGTATATAGGAGTGAGAGAGAGAGAGAGAGAGAGAAGGATTCGTTGAGAAAGGGAAGCTTAGCGGTTAAGCGTCTGCTGTCATGCATATTTGCCACACAAATCTGTACAAACAAAGTAAGTAAGGTTGTGTAAAACGATCTTTATCTTTTTCGGATTCGTACATGTGTACACGTCGTGTCAATCATCTCTTATTTTCTCATTTCAATAATAACAAATAGATGGCCCCAATAAATAAATCTTTTTATAACCTTTTTGCTGTAGCATTTTATACTATGTGCACACTTCTTGTTTAATTATAGGTCTAACCATTATTTTTTAAATTGTAATTTTTTTAAGTTTTTCTTTTTGTACTAATTAATGAAGTTTCTCTACATCAGTACGTAATTTCACTATTTTCTTTATTCTCGTTTGTTCTGACATATTATCCCCTCAAGTTGAGTTTTAATTTTTATTTACCGTACAATTTTTTTTAATTTAATTTTAAGTGTGTATATATATAATTTTTATATTACTTTAAAAATTAAGAGAATAATACTCTATTATATAAATTTTAAAAAATATATCTTTTTAAATTTATGAGTACAATAAACATTATTTTTTAAACTGTAAAAAATATTTATTAATTAAATATCTATTACATAAAATAATATTTATTTTTTAAAATGAAAATTATATTTTATTAATTTCCGAGTATAATAACGAATATTATCTTTTTAAAATGTAAAAGATTTATTAATCAAATATCTATTAAATTAAGTCAAAAGGCTATGGGTCGTGTGTTTGTCTCACGATTTCTTTCTCCATACAAAATTATTATGTTAATCACTTAAATCAACTTTTAAAATTAATACTAATATATAAAAGAACATAACTTATGCATTATAAAAATATTTTTAAACTTAAGTAAAATTTATAAACAAAAATTAAAGAAAATGATACATACGTTCGTTACCAATAGTAAATATTTTCATTTTATCAAGTAAAAATGATAAAATAATACTTCTCAAATTAAATAAAAAATTATGAAAACAAATGATTCGAAACAAAACACAATATAGTGGGCATCAAAATAAGACTGAAATATAATAAAATTATAATAATTTTAAAATTTAATCTATCTTAGAAAGTCTCTTTAATTTAATATATCTAAATTCAAAATATAATATTTAAATAAAATTAAAATTAAAATTAAGTAATAATATTTTAAAAGATTGATACTTAATTAAAAAGAAGTTACGTATATTAATAGTTAATATGCATATTCGAGTTTATAATACGGGAACGAATCATACACTTATGTTTAATTAACCACAAGACATCTTTTCAATTGCACATACAACAAATCTTGCCGCTCTTTACTGAATGTGGTGTCCTACAATCTTTCTATTCCCGAAACCTGTCAACTTAAGGTGTAAGTAAAAGACTCGGGGAATCTAAATTCAAACAAAATTTCTCCATTATTTTTAACTATTTAAATTTTAATTTTAAAAACTGTTACCCATTTTTAGAGGGGGTGAAGGAGAAATGATGCCGTCGATTTGGATGTTCATCCACCAGAGGTTGACAACCACCATACAAATAGTTACCCCACTAATCAAGTCATAAGAATTACCACAAGCAATATAACTTATGCATATACTTCATGAAGAGAGTAATAGTTTGGCAAATAAAAAAATCAAAATGTGTTCAAAGGTTAAAGCTTCAAATCTGCAAGCAGTATTCTGCCATCTCAAACGCAAGACCCAAACATATATAGTTGTGAGAATTAAACTGCACAAGAAGTTTTAGTTGCTTAATTGAGTTCCTTAGGCCTAATTTCTAATCCTTCCAGAAAGAACCCGCTCTTCCAATTACCACCTCTATTCTCCATGACAGTCATCTCCACTTCATCTTCTAGGCCTGTATTGAAGAACTCCCCCATCTCAATCTCCAACCACCCATCGCTTCTCTCATTTGGACGTTGCAGTCCCACAACTCCGTTGTTTGGCCTACCTTCTAAGTTAGGATCCAAACAGACACTTTTGGTATTACTCTGGCCACCATGGATACTCACTGATAACTCCACAGGACGATTATGAAATCCACGGGCATTGTTCATCTTGAAAACAAGATAAGCAGCATACTGAGTATTTGGTGACAAGGCAATTGCGTTTATCACCCCGCGAATTTCAAGCCAGCACACATCAATAAGTTCAGCAACTTCAGGGAACCTGTTCAAAATATGCAAGGATAGGCATTGATGTGTGTCACAGAAAGACTAAACGTCCACAGTCAGTACAGTAGTTATTGAAACAAGAAGCAAAGAAAAATGCTGAGTGATTCATTTATTCATAGAGTATTTCTGCAGGTGTAGATACAAACTGTGATCTAAAATAACTCTTACAGTCAGTTCTGATTAAAGAACAACAACGAGAAAGCCTCATGCCTTTATTCGACTAAGCAAACTACGTGGATCACATTACTCCATTGAACTACATAAAAATCAATTTTTTTAAAAATATTATTTTTCACGAAATTCCTTTCAATAATTTTCTCTAAAATCTCTAGTGGACAAAAAAATCATGTCATCCAATCTACACAATATAAGTGCGGACAAGTTAACATAAATTGGAATCTGTAACTAATGGTAGCTAACTTATCAACAGGTTAGTTATTAAGTTAAATTGGGTGGTGATAGGTAACACTAACACTTGCCATCAAGATGGAAGGAAAATTTAGTAAATTCCCATGTTGGACAAGGTTAAAGGAAACCATGAAACTGAGATGGCAATTAAGTCTCGAGAATGGAAGCACAGATTAGTAAACAAGTGTAGATCTAACAGAATGTTAACTAAAAAAGTGAAAAACCTGGAATCTGGCAGGGATGTCCAGTTCCAATACTCAGTGGTATCACCCCAAATAATGAGGAGAGCTCTGGCAGCAAGCATGTAACACTTCTTCCCACTCTTTTTGTCCAATTGAAAGCTCTGCATTCACAAATGATATCACCCACATAATTGCTCGTTCTCTTTCAAGTTTCAAGATTTAACAAGCTATTGATAGTTACCTTTTTACCCTGATCGATGATGATAGGGTTATCGGAGAGAGCGAGGTAGAGGACTTTCTTGGAAGGGTTGTTGGGAACGAAAGAGGATTGGGAAATGATAGTGCGGTAATCGGAAGGGAGAAAACGATCCCACACGGCATCGGAATCAGCGGCGGCACGGAAAATCTTGGAAACGAGAGAAAGCCTGCACGCGTCGAGGGGCGTGGTGCGAGAGAGGATCGCAGCGATGCATCCTTCCGGCAACTCCTCAAACCCCATTCTTTTCTTTTCTTTTCTTTTCCTTTCTCGATCACTTCACTTCTGAATCTCTCACACACGCCGCTTTTACAGAACGAAGTTTTGAGCAGACGCTGACACGTATTCATTTATGTATATATAGAAATTATAAAATTTATCTGAATTTTTCCTAATTTTTATCATATTACACAAATAATAAATGTATATGATAATTTTTTTTATTAAAAATAATATAATTTAATGTAATTTAATATATTATTAATATTAAATATTATAAATTTTTATAAAAATTATGAATATATATTTTATTTTATATAATATTATATTAATTAAAAAATTAATTTATACACATGGTATAATGTGATTGGTCTAAATAACATGTTTTGTATAAAAAAAAAGTTCTCACGTATAATAATAATAATTTTTTAATTTTTTTATATTTTAACATTTTTTTATAAGTTTAATTTAGAAGGAAGGAGACATCATAATTTATATGATTATTGTAAATAATTTTTAATATAATTTAATTTTTTTAGCTATTTAAATAATTTTTTACTCAATTAAATAATTTATTTTTTAAATTTTATTATTATTATTATCATTATTTATTTCCGTTTTCATTTAACATTTGGTTCACACTTTAAAATTAAGTTAAAGTATATTAAAAAAAAAACTTTTAGAACTACGTGAGTCTATATCAAAACAAACGCCACATGTAACATTTGTCAAACCAAACGGCTGCTTTTATTAAAAAAAAAAATAGAACAATTTCTCAAAATAAGTAAAAATAAAATTATTCATTTTTATCTATAGTCAGTTTTATCACATCACTTCAAATATTATATTTATAAAAGAAATAATAAATATTATTTTTATATAAATTGATAGTTATTTTTTAATAAATGTTATTTATGCCATGAATGATACTTTTTATTATTATTAGAAAAGATAAATATCATTTTAAAAACAATATTTAAGTGACGTGAAAAAATATTATGAAAAAATTATTTATTTATTTATTTATTTTTAATTTTTTTTGACAAAAAAACCCATAAATAACACATACAACATTAACAAATGTTGTCGTGCAATATTAGTTTCTCCACTCATGACACAATTATAGTTATATACGAGTTTTTTTTGTTTTTTTAATAATAAATTGTTTTTATCTGTATAAAGTAGTATTTTTTAATTAATCTTATAAAAAATTGTTGACTAAACGATGAAAAATCAACTTATAAAATGTTACATCATATTTTTTTAATATTTTATTATTTAAAAGTAATATTTATAAATATTTTTAAAAAATTTATATTATTTTTAAAATAATTAGTTAATTAATTAAAATTATAGTTTATCATCCTCTGTCTCCACCATCAAACTCATTCATGCTGGAATCTCTCTCTCACTCTCATAGTTATGCTTAAAAATCAAGTCCAATTTACTACTAACACTCTCAAGCAATTTTTTTTTTAATTTTAAGCAAAAATCAATTTTTTTAGCTTATTTTGTTTAAGTAAATTTTGTAGCTTAAACAAAAATTACTGTTTTACTATTAATTTTTTTGTTGCTTAAATAAAAATGCATTATCGCCGTTCCGGCCAAACTGTAAAAAAATTGTCTCGCCCACAACTGTTGCCAAATCGCCACCCTCAATCCGGTCCTGATCCTTCACCTTTGATAGTGTAGTGTTACGAGGAATTTCAAGCCATCCAGGGCTAACCTTGTAATTTAGGAGTTTGGATATCCTCTTCAAGTGAACAAATAACTAATGATAAGTGTATAAATAATTCCATATCATTGTTAAAATAAATATGTTAAATATTTTAATATAGTTCTCAATGAAATTTTGCTATTTAATTCAATTTGATACAACATCACGGAAACGCATTTCTAAAGTTATTGTCGTTATGCTTAACAAATAAAAAAATAACAAATCACGATAGCTTGGTTTGACATTTTTCACAGAAAGAATATCCATGTTCTAAACTCAATTACTTTAAGAGGGAGGGAGAGAATCATTTTAAATGCACCTGTTAATGAAAAAGCACAAATTTTCTGTCAACCATTTTTTTATCGAACACCTTGCCAGCACCTCCCAACCCACCCAAAAACCTCAAGTAAATAGCATCGGAAATGTAATTGCATGATTCGGTATTACTCAAAAGCTTGATTTCAATATTTTGACGTGCTATCGTTTAGGTAACGACTTTCATCATTCTCTACATGTTCTTCTTACTCTATTTGCTATTCTTCCATTGCCTTGATTTCAATCACACATTTGTTGGTTCCTTGCCCTGCAGGAAGCAGCTACAGAAACTCATGAATGTCAAGTCAATAAATACCACTTACAATGGACCACACAAAAATTGTATTGCAGTCAATACCAAGGAAGACAAATGGGGATGGGATCAAAGAGCAACAACGGTGTCTGCCGACCGATTAACTTTGACTAGGATTTAATTGTAGATATTAAAAGTAAAATTATTTGTTAAAATTAAAAAACAAGGACTTATAAAAATAAATATTAATAAAATCAAATAAGATCATGAATTCACTTGAAATTTATTTATTTAGCCATATAAACATGGCACTCTAACAACTGCCCAACTAGTTAACCGTTCCGACATACTTAGGCCTAAATTCTATTCCTTCAAGAAAGAAACCGTGCTTCCACATATTACTTGTTGTTTCCCTGATACTGAAATGCAGTTCATCATGTTCTATGCCTGAATTGAAGAACTCTCCCATCTCAATCTCAAACCACCCATCTCTCCTCACACGAGGGCGTTCCAGTCCCCGAAATCTCTCATCCAGTTCGTAGTCATCTAAGTTGGGGTCCAAACAAACATTCTTGGAGTAGCTATGGCCTCCCAAAATACCCAGTGATAGGGTCACAGGATGGTTGTGAAATCCTTCGGCATCAATCATCTTGAACACAAGATAAACAGCATAGCGAGTGTTTGGGGACAAGGCGCTTGTGCTCATCGTCCCACCAAGTTTTAACCAGCACACAGCAATAAGTCTAGCAACTTCTTGGAACCTGGTCAACACAACAATTGTATTTCACAGAGAGATTGAGCAGAAAAAGACAAAAACATATAATATCAATGAATTAGTAAAACAATGACCTGGACTCTGCCAGGTTTGTCCACTTCCAATATTGGGGAGTACCACCCCATACAATGTGCAGTTCTCTAGCGGAAAGCATGTAACACTTCTTCCCACTCCGTTTGTCCAATTGCAAGCTCTTCAATGTTTCAGCCACACATGACACAACCCATATATGATTTCAGAAATTAATCATTATTTTTGGATAATAGAAAGTCACGATTTTTGCCAGAGAGTTGAGTTTAATCATTAAAAAATAATCAAATTTATTACATTAAAATTATAAACATATAAATGATCAACAAACTAGATCGTCGACTTACGTTTGACTTACGAAGCAGATAATTGATGAACAAAGATAAATGGTATATGTGTACCTTTCTACCCTGATGGGTGATGATGGGACGATCACAAAGAGCAAAAAAGAGAGCCTTCTTAGAGGAAGAGGAAGAGGAAGAGGAAATGTTAGAGGTGAAATCGGGGTTGGAGGGAAGAAAACGTTCCCATACAGTGTTGGATTCAGCAGCAGAATAAAAGGTCTTGGAAACAAGGGAGAGCCTACACACATCCATAGGAGTGGTGTCGAAGGACAGTATTTTTGCGATGCATCCTTCGGGTAACCCTTCCAACTCCGTCTCCTTCTTTCCTTTGATTTTCGTTTCCTTCCCAATTCCGTGTCTGATGAATGCAAAGTTGAAGCTTCTGTATATATATAGGTTGTCTCATTTCTTCCTACCTTCCTCAATATAAATAAATCATGAGGAGGAATATATTATTGTTTTTAAGTAAATATTTTATATATATCATCCTTTTTCATCTTTCTTTATTATGTTATTTATTTTATCTCACATTCTTTTATTTTCTTAAATCTCTCTTAATTATAAAATCGTTGCATAAAAATGTTTTAGGGGTAAAATTTATCTTCAAATATTGTCCCCGCTTGAGGTCTCTTCTTCAATTATTTATTTAGTTTTGTTATTTAAACATAAAAAAATCAGTATTATGTAAAATGTTGCATATAATCAATTTTATTTTTTATTTTTCATATTAATATATCTTGAAAAATATATTAAATTGAAGGAAGGCAACTTTTTATTGTCTCCTAACATTTTTGTTATTGAATATCATTTTACGTACGAAACTACTTGGAAGGCTGCAGAACGCGGACGATGTTACCCATTCACTAGTTATGGATTGAACCCTTCACGTACGCTCACGCGGTTGTGCAAATAGAAAAAAGAAATAAAATTTGTGGAACAAAAAAAAAGAAATATAATTTAAAGCATAAAAATTGTTAAAAATTTAAATTTTGTTATTTTTTTATTATATAAATAATAGTTTTATATAATATATTTTTTATATAAAATTAAATATAAATTTTTTTTTACTGAGAATATTATGAAAAATAGTTTTTATATACTAATCTTAGCTTCTTGGAATTCTTGTTGACTCAAAAGAAAGATAAAAAAATTATTTATGTACCATTCTAGGAATAATTTTAGTTATTTCTTTTAAATTTAAAGTATATTTTTGGATGAAAAAAATATAAAGGTTGAACATATAATTTCAAAATTTTTAGTTTGATGTAAAATTTAGTTTTTTAAAATTAATTAATTAATTATTTTTAAAATTCAGTAAATTTAATTTTTCATGTCATTTTTATTTTTTATTTAAAATATCATAATTAATTCAGAATAAAAACTCTCACAATTTTCTCTCTTCAAATCATAATCGTCTCTCGTGTTATAAAATTTTCAATTTTTATTATTTTTAATTTTAAACTTGTAAAATTATTTCATCATCTAAGTCTATTACAAAAAGATTAAAATAACATATAATCTGAACTAAAAAAAAAGTACAATTAACTAAGAGTGTTTAGTGTATGATTTTTTCTTATTATTGAGAATTTTGTTTCTTACAATTAATAAAACTATGTCTGGTATATCTTAAATATTACTGAAATTTTTATATGATATTTTTTAAAAATATTTTTATATTGTATTTTATTTAAATATTATTTTTTAAAATATTAATATTTTCAAAAATAGTTTTTAATATTTATATTTTAATTCATGAATTTTATTAATAGTGCTAACTAAATTTTTTTTATTTAAAAGTTAAAATTATAAATTTAAAATAAAATAAAATAATATAAAAATTTAAAATATGAGAAGTGTATGCATATATGAATTTTTTTTTTATAAAAAAATTACCTAGTTAATGATAATGACAACTAGAGTGATCAATAAAATTATAAAATTTTAACTGTGAAATTTTAAATAATGTCACGGTTAAAAACATGCAAATTACCGATAAATTTTTTAAAGATTATCGATAGATTTTGGATTTACAAACATAATTACAAATGAGTTAAATTTATTTGTTATTTACTCATTGGTAAATTAATATAGATGAATTTTCAAAGAAAAAACTCTCATTTTAGTCTTTCAAATATTAAAAATATCATGTTAGTCTTTGACTTTCATCTCCGTCGCAAACATCGTTAACAAACAATGACAAAATGATGATATCACATTAAGTGTCATGTCAGAAGCTCAATTGGCAAAAACGACATTGTTTTAAATAAGTGGAGAAGTCAACGCGGCCAAACAGTTGGCAAAAACAATATCGTTCTAGAAAATCTGATTGCCACTCCTCGTTCATGGCGCAAGTTCTTTGACCTCTCTGCCCTCTCATGCTACCATAATACTTTTCATTCTCTTTCTCAACCTCCTCTGGCATCCCTTCTCCATAATTATCTTCCTCATCCTCCTCATTACCTGGTTCTACCTCTACTTCTCTCACAATTGCCCCGTTGTCATTCTCAACCAAACCTTTGATGACTGTACCATCTTCTTCATTTTGAGCCTCATCATTGTTGTGTGCTCGTCTCCACCCACGTGAGCATTAATGTATTGGTCCCATTGATTATGGGTGTTGTCGTTGTTGGGTTGCATCTTGCGTTTAGGATTTTAGGTTTTGTTTCTCAAAAATGAAAGTTCATTGCTTTCTGTTGTGGGAAGTTAATCTTCGAGAACAAATTATACCCTGATTTGATTTTATTTAACAAGTTTGGTTCCTTTTTGTTGTGTGAGGTGTTTTCACTTCTGGGCACTAGTTTATCATCGAGTTAGTTTTAGATTTTCTAATTTGGGAATTCTAATTATGAACAAGAGAGAGTTCAAACTCAAAGGTAGGTCTTTTGTGTTGAAGGGTAGTCCTAATAGTGATGACTATGAGTATGTGAATTTTTGGGTGTTCATTGAATTTTACATGTTTCTTGACGTTTAAGCTGCCAATCCTGCCACATTGGTTTATTTAGTTTGGATTGGGGTTGTAACGGGGTGTTTGTATTGAAGCATTGATTGAAATTGAATTAGAAATTTGAAATTGGATGTGTTTTGTCTAGATAGACACGAGAGTTTTTTGCGGAAGAGGATCCATTTAAGTAGTGACTGACAATGACATTGTTAGGACACTTTTTAATTTCTTGGAACAATGTCATTTTTGCCGACTATTTATTAACTTCTCCACTCCTTTAAAACGACGTTATTTTTGCCAATTAAGCTTCTAACATGTCACTTAACGTGAAACATATCAGCATTTTATTATTGTTTGTTAGCGGTGCTTGGGTTTAGGGACAAAAATGCCTAACAAAGATAAAAGTCAGGAACTAATGTGACATTTTAAATATTTCAAGGGTTAAAATGTTGGACACTAACTATTCTAAGGACTAAAATAAGGATTTAGTCAATTTTCAAATCTATTTGTAAATTACTGATAGATTTTATGACTATAATGTTACAAACATTTTTTTCCATTTGTAATTTACAAATAGAATTTTTCATTTGTAATATTCAATTATTATTTTGTGTTTACTTGTATGATTATTCTTCACTATTCTTAATTATTATAATAATTTGAAAACATAAAAGAATTATAAAATCAAAATTTAAAAAGTTATTTAAAAAATGTTAAATTAAAATGTCATCATAATTCAAGAAGTAAACATCTAAAGTAATAATGTATAAAATAAAATAACAATATCTATCATAAGTATTAGGCATTATCATCGTTGAGAGCAACACCATCATCATTAATAGAGGAGGAGGAGGATGAATGTCACATTAACCCAAATACAGGTGGTGCTGGAACTGGTAGAAGAGGAGGAAGATGTGTGGAGTTATTCATTCTCATAAGTGTGAAGTATGCATGCATCTGTTGCATGTAACACCCAGAATTTTCAGTGTGATGTGACATGATGGTGGAATTGTGAGAAAAGTAATTATAATACGAGAATCAGAATATATGAGTAGATGTGATTGCAATACAAGTATTGTAGTATGACTAGAGGGTGTACTCATAATATATCTATTGTAATACATCGAGTTATGTGGTCAAGACTCATGTATTATGACACGTTGCCCTGTGAAAAAGAATGAAAAATGTTGGTAGTGAGTTCAGATAGCTACTAAGATATACTAGGGGTATAGAGTCCGGAGAAGATTTGAAAAATCTTAGGAAAATGAGGGTGATGAATGCTCCATGTGAACAAGTGCACAATGATTTGCAAAGAGTGAAGGCATTCACAGGCCACACACTTATTTTTTGACAGGTCTCTTAACTATACTTTTGTTAAAAAGGGCCGAGACAGCACACATGTATCCGTGTTGCTGGGGCGGGCTAACCAGCGGCTATCTAAGCTATCAAGTCCTTAAGGGATCCTAGGGGCATTGAATGAGAGTGAAATTGACGTGAAAGTGCAATATATATGAAGTAGTGTAGAAGTTGTATGACTATAATATATGCATTGTAACATATCGGTTAATGTTGTTATGATATATGTGTTATAATACATTGACGGGTGCGATTAGGACACATGTGTTATAATACATGTATTATGATGTATGAATTAGTAGAAAGATGCATGTTATGAACGTTTGCAAATATGATCAATTGTCTGTTTTGTGTATACTCTTTTGTGATAGTGAATTATATGACTTGAGTGTCAGTGTTAATTCAATCCATGTTAGAAAGTATTTTTAGCATTTTATATATATATATATATATATATATATATATATATGATTATTTTGCTTATGTTAAATAAGAGATTTAGTGTTTATAAAAAAAAAAAAAAAGAGATTTAGTGGGGTGAGAGATACTCATCCTTACTAACATTTTCAGGTAATGAAAGTGAAGAGATAAAGATGTCTGATTTATCCTATGATCATAATCCAAGGGTATTGGAAGGAAGATTGCTCTGTAGGAACTGAGATAATTTCAAAAATTGTATTGTTTTATCTAATTATATTTCATGTTGACCAAAGTTTGTAAATGATTTCAATGTTAGATTTTAGAACTTAAATCCTTGAACAAATTTTTGTTGTAAAGAATTTTTTGGAAATGTTCTTAGTGGAAACTCTAAATTTGTATGTATTCAATATAAACCAAATAATTTGCTAGATGTAAACTTAAGTTTTATTTATTACCTTTAAAGTTTCATATCATTCCCGTGTAAATCCTAAACGTTTTGGAATTTTATGAAACTTTCATAAGAAGAAAGTGTAAATTTTGTTTTTGTGCGATTCCCAAGTCCGCGAATAAGAACAAAATATTTTTTTATTATTTATTCGCTATAAATTTATTTATTTTGAATGAAGAAATTGAGGGTGTTATATTGCATCTGCATACACCTCCTTCTGCTTTCTCCCTCGATGCCACCTTTTTCTATATCTTCTCCATTTTATTGGTTCACTTCTTCTTCTATGTACTCCTTGGTCTTCCACATCTCCTCATTTTGTTTTTGGAGCTCTTTATTAAGGAGATGGACTTGAGTGCGGACCATGTCATCTACATCTTTAGGTGCAAAAGAGGGGCATCTCCAATAACAGATGCAGGGGACATTAAGTTCACAAAGTGGCTCCCCATGCCATAAATGCGACATTTATAAAGGTCAACCACCGTATCAAATTACATAGTGTCTTCATAAGCAGACTTTGGGTTCTCAGTAAATGTACTATTTAGTCTTTGAACATAGTGTAATTATATGTTAGGCTCAAGAAATATTTTTAAATATTTAATAAAAAATATAATGTTAGTAATTATGCTTAATATGTAGCTTAGGATCGTGCATTAACTCACTGAGTGTGTGTCTTTTTGAACACCTCTCCATGTGTAGGTGGTTTGTTGAACACTTCAACAATTTCAATTAATAAACCTCTCAAATTTAATTGATAAATTAAATAACATAAAATTTAAGCAAATTTGGAAATCACTAAATAATATGCAGTGATCTCCTTTTATTGGATGCCCTGTTTGTTTTGTTCTTTACAGAGAGATTTTTAAACTCATTTGTATGCCAATACTCCTACAAGGCATGAAGAAATTGGAGTACTATCCAATCTACAGATGATAGATAGGTCTTGATACACCTTAATGTATATTTGTCTTAGTCACTTTGCAGTTCTATTCTTTTAGGCCTTGAAAATTATCTTCTCTTCTTGAGAGAAATGGAGAAGCTGCTCTATATAAATAGAAATTAATTGATACAGGTACAAGAATTAGAGATCTAACAAGACTTAAAATAAATTAATTGACTTTTATTACCTTCCAATCTTTGAACCATTCCATCTTAGTATCCTTAGGTACCTTAGAAAAATTGGTATAAGGCGCGCCATACATCTTTTTAATGGTATCCGTTGGTGAATACCCTTCTGCAGTGGATACCAACTGAATACACAATAAAATAACACAATCATGATAACATTCACATCAAATAAAGTTTTGTGCTATATTTTGTAAATAACTTACTAAGTTGATTCATCTCATCCACATCAATAATGTCTAGGTTTGTGACTGTTGCCCATAGGAAGTTGTAATAATAATAGATCTCTCGCTTGTGCATTGTGTTAAGAGGAAAAATGAGGCAGATTTAGTCAACGTGTAGACTATGAAACTCGTTGGACTAGAAGGGGAGGAGGCATATATCCAGGGGTTGGATACCATGATGAACTAGTCCTGCCCCTAACCAGGAAGGTTTGCATGTAACTAGTGTGGAGGTGGAAGAGCGAGTAGTTGATGGAGAAGTGTTGCCATGAGCAGGACACTGATTAACACTTTTTTTACCTTTACTTACCAGACCTTAATCAAACCTAAATACAAGCACACATATATTGTATGAACATATTTTATTTTACACTATACAGATTTCTAATATGAATTTTGACATAATTTTTCGTAATGTATGAACATTTCCTTACGTATGTTAACACCTAATACAAAAATAAGCATTTTCTTCACACATAATCTATATATTATATAAAAATATATTAATAAATAAATCATAAACATAAACATCACAATCCTAAAACTATTCTAGAGCACATTTTTTTATAACTCAACAAAATGCATATTCTATAATATCTGTAATCACAATTAGTCCCACGATAAATAATAATTAATTTTAGAGAAGGACCTCTACGCCCATCTCCCTAATCTTATAACTTTATCTTAGAAATCATAAGTCTTTATTTTATATTAAAATTTTAAAAACTAAAATGATTAAAAGTTAGAGTATTGTATTAGGAACACAATAATGAAATTTATTTTCTAAATGAATGTTCTAACCACTAACAATGGGCAAAGAATTGAAGATGGCAAGGAGAGAAATAAGGAGATGAGAGAGAGACAAGAAAAACTGGAAAGTGAGAAAGAAGAAGGGAATGTGTGGTTTTGATCTATTTTGCATTATTACAGACATATTTTTTTGTCTATAATTGCTTTAATAAACTGTAATGTTTTTAAATCTTAGTTACAAATAAATTTTTTTGTATGTAACTCTATTAAATGCAGTTGTAGACAAAAAAATGTCTATAAAAAACTATATGAAATGTAAAAAATATGTTTTAAAATATAGACAAATTTTTTTGTCTGTAATTCTTAATTTTTTTGTCTTAGTTTTAAATTACAGATAAACTTTTTTGTTTGTAATTTCTATCTGTGATATATGCCAAATAACGAAAAAAAAATTAAAAATAAATTTACAGATGAATTTTTTTTTAAAATATAAAAAATAATTTTTTTCAATATACTATCTATAAATTTGTCTATAATACAAACTGAAAAAATTTATCTATAAAATCTATTTATAATTTACATGTTTCTAGTATTGAGTTTAAATATAATAAAATGTTAAAAATAGAGGTAAGAAAATATAGAGAAAAAAAAATAAATTGCATATGTGAAGAACTGCATATCAATACGCAAAAAATCTTATATGAAATCTTACTTTGCTCATTTTCTTATTTATATTTATTCTTTTTACCTTAAGTTTGAGGATGGACTAAAATAAATGTTGACTAATATTGAAAAAAAATTACATCGAAATCTTTATTAAAATAAAAAGTAATTTATAAAATTATGTAACTTATCCACCAACTCACTATTTTTTTTTATGAGCCACAGACAGAAGAATTTATCGTGGACAACTACTTCAATAAATAAAGACCAAATAGAGAAATAAAATAAATTAAAATTTAATAACATGGAAAAGTATAATCATATTTTTATTGAGAAAACTTTTTATCTTTGCGAGAATTTTATATTCTTATCTCACAATATGGTTGTCTTAAAAAACTTAATTAAAAAATTATTTTAAGAATGATAGTTTTTTCATAGTATTTTTGAAAAAATATCTATGTTAATTATGAGAATTTAATATTTGATGGTTATTAAAAATTTAAAAGAAACCTAAAACCTAACACCCCTAAAGATAAAAGAAAAATGATATACTTAGTCGTAGAAATAACGAGACGTTGCGAAAGATAACTACTGACCATAACCTTAACTGATGTAAAAACGACCTTTAATTAACGAAAGGGAAACAAAGGAAACGGCTGGATGCCATCCATGCAGGGCTAGGAATGCCACATTTTTTGGAATGAATCTAAAACGACATGCATCTCATGATTAAGTCCTCTCATATCTCCCCCTTTTCTCTCCCACAATTCTGAGGAATTTAATCTCTTCTTTTTTGCATGCCTCCATGCATGGCTTCATTCTTTTCTCTTCTTTTCATCTTTTCTTCTTAAACTCTTTTTCATTCTTTTAGGCTCTGTCTCCCTGTCACGGGGGTCCTTCAATGCCATTTGGAGGACCCTCGTCCTTTATTGTTTCTTATTCTTCTTTGTCGATTAATTAATATAACCAAGGGCAAACTTCGTGCACACTAGAGAGAGAGAAAGAGAAAGACATCATTTTGGCATTCTCATTTTTGGATGAAAATATAGTTTCTAATAAATATTGTTCATAAATTTCTTCCACCACATACACATATATTTGATTTGTATACATCTCGTGGAAGGTTGGAAGCATGAATTGCTTCCCGTGTTGTGGCCCTCAAAAAAGTAAGAGCAGCATAAGCAGGAGTGAGCATGGTTCTCCACCACCACCGGAAACATTTGCAACAAAAACACCACCAGGTATAAGTTCCCAAATATATACATAAATTTTGGAAATTATTATTATTTTAACCAAAACATTAATTAGTTGGTTCTGCGGCATTTATTTTGATCAAACTATATAATTTATGCCAAAAAATTGTCAAGATGAAGATTGATTGATTGATTGATTGATTTGATTTATGTATGACTCGTTTCCATAATTTAAAACATCGCATGTACGTGGTTGCGTTTGACATGCAGATATTAAGAAACCAAAACCAGAGGAGGCAAACCAAGTTGAGACTCCAAATATCCAAGCTCAGAATTTCACTTTCCGTGAGCTAGCAACTGCAACAAAGAATTTCCGTCAGGATTGTTTGATCAGTGAAACGGGATTTGGTAGAGTATACAAAGGGATAATACCTGCCACAGGCCAGGTCATAAACCTTTCAGTTTTTTCATTTAAAGTGCAGAAAAAAAATATAAATTCAACAGTTTGTATCTATGTTTTTTTTATATTCACTTTGTTTTCTTTGGATCTTTCCAGGTTGTGGCCGTGAAGCAAATCGACCGAAATGGGATCCAATGCACTAGTAAGGAATTTCTGGCTGAGGTTGCAACGCTAAGTAACTTGCACCAAGAAAATCTGGTGAATCTCATTGGTTATTGTGCTGATGGAGATCAACGTCTTTTGGTGTTTGAGTTATTTCAAGGGCGTACTCTAGAGAACCGTCTTTTCGGTAGTTCCGTTTCCTTATTTATAATCTTATTTCACCGAGTTTTGAAAATGTTTGAGAGAAATAGGAATAGAAAAGTGAAAAATTATAGATGTAATTAGTAATTATTTCGCTCTTGGGTTGGGGGTATTTATAAATTAAATCTATAGCATATACACATGTGCATTTACCTTGTTCTCTGTTAGTTTTGGTGAGAGTTTCAATCTTAAAATATAGGACTTGTGTGGTTGTGGCAGAGAATAAAGAGGGGGAGGCTCCACTAAATTGGTTTGACAGAATGAAAATAGCAGCTGGTGCTTCTAAAGGACTAGAGTACTTGCACAACAGTGCCAATCCTGCAGTTATATTCCGGGACTTGAAAGCAACCCACATCATACTGGACAATGATATCATTGTAAAACTATGTGATTTTGGATTGGCCAGGCTTTCTGGTGCAGACAAGATGAACCATGCACCTCCAAGAGTTATGGGTACCTATGGTTACTGTGCTCCAGAGTATGTAAGAACAGGTCAATTTACCGTGAAATCAGACGTATACAGCTTCGGAGTTGTCTTGCTAGAGCTCATAACTGGAAGACGAGCCATTGACACGACAAGATCAAATGACGAACAAAATCTAGTTTCATGGGTAAAATATACAAATTTCAAATTTCTTTTCGATGTTGTTTGTGACTTATATGAGAATGTTGATAGTAGTTATAAGCTAATATCTTTTGGATGTCCAGTAGATATATGATTTTGATATATCGATTTCTATCTGTTGTTAGGCACAACCCTTGTTCAGGGACCCCAAAAGATATCCAGATATGGCAGATCCAATTCTTAATAAACAGTTCCCAGAAAAGGATCTCAATCAAGTTGTTGCAATAGCAGCCATGTGTTTACAGGAGGAAGCAGAAGCTCGACCTTTGATCAGTGATGTTGTAACTGCACTCAGTTTTCTTTCCACGGCTCCTACAGAAGTTATTCCACCCTCTCTTCCCCCTGCCACCTCTATCTCTAAGGAGAGTGCTGCCGGTGATAGTGAAAGTGAAAGTGATACAGAATCTGGCAAGGGGAGCCGCAGGAGTGTTGCAGCCAGTGCAAAGAACAGAAAGAGTGATGTAGATAATGAAGATGATTATTATAAGAATGATGACCAACACGGTTCAGATAGCCAACTTCAACCAGCGGTTTCCTCTAAAACAAGCCGCAAAAGCAACTCCAGATCAAGGAAAGAAAAGCTTAGTTCAGATTCAGGAGATGGAAGCATTTCTTCCAGCAGCAAAAGCAGTAGGAAATCACATGGTGCTGTTGGTGATCTAAGCCACAAGAACAGCAGAAAATCTTCTATCAAAGATTTAAGCCAGAAGAGCAGTAAAAAATCTTCTATCAAAGATTTAAGCCAAAAGAGCAGCAAGAAATCTTCTATCAAAGATTTAAGCCAGAAGAGCAGCAGAAAATCTTCCATCAAAGAATCAGGCCACAAGAGCAGTAGAAAATCTTCTGTCAGGGTTTTAAGCCACAAGAGTAGCATGGAATCGGAGGAAGGAAGCATTTCCTCAAGCTGCCGTAGCAGCAGTGTGGTGTCAGAGGATGAAAGTGTTATGTCAGAGCATAGCAGCAGGATTCTATCACACGGAAACATGTCTTTTGGCCATGTCAGTAGTGTTCACTCAGACCACAGCAGCAGCAAAAGGACCGAACAAGACAGCATACATTTAGACCATGCAACCAGCTTGGGATCTGATGCGGGAAGTGGTCACCCTTTTGACCGAATTAGCAGCAGTGGATCAGATTAAGCAAGTGTTCATTCACGATATGAAGTTATCAACCTGTGGTTGCCCCTTGTGATCGTGAACAGACATGCTTGTACTTCGACATGTTCCTTTGTATATTTTTGTGTCAAACTTTGGTTGTTTGTGCAACCCTTCATTTGAGCTATACATGATAACCATATATATGTGTATGTGTGATTCTACTCAGAACTGAGACTTGAAAATTAAGCATCCTCTATATTTAATTGTTTTGGTTAGTATGCGTCATGTATATTTATTGTTTACCTACCTTTGTTTCGAGAACTTGAATGAATATCTCCGTAAATTTCCATTATAACTGTGGCCATTATTGGAAGAGTGATCCCTATTTGTTTTATATCGGAATTGCATGTTATCAATGTTGTTATATGTGCGTGTGACAACTAATGCTAATTAAGAGTCTAAGACAGCTGTTCGAGTTTGTTATCAACTAAAGTGAATATATCCGTCATGTTACATAGCAAAATAAATGGATGAATATATATTGGTATAGAATATTGGCACGGAAAAAAAAAGGATGTTGAAATTTGAGAAAACTCACTTTTCCCACATCGAGTTGCTACTTGTTATTTTGTTCAAGCTATAGATGGACTTGTGTTCTAGCAATATAAACAGACCCAATATTGAAATTACCTGTTTGACTGATTAATATTTCCATAATGAAGTTATAGCAGGTAGGGATACTTTTAAGAGTTGCCAACATCGAAAGTCTAACGTAACATATCTTTTGGACGGTCATGGAGTTGAGATCAAAGGATAGGCAGCTACACAAAACACTGCTGAGCCAAATAATGTATAGCCTATATACTTTATGACAAGGTTGTCGCATATAACGTGACATGCAACTTTGGTTGTTACTACCGATTTATAAATTTCACATTAAAAAGGCAAATGGCTCCAGGACCAGGTCTTGTTGCTTCACGCTGTGAAACAGATAGGTATTGTATAAAATTGCAGCACCGCTTACTTGGTATACCTTTTGCAAGACATAATGGAATGTTTTGTTGAAAGGATCAAAACTCAAAAGGTTCACCGAGTTAAATAGGGGTGTTCAATAGATGAGTTTTTGTGCAAGTGCAAGAGATAAAGAAACTACATTCGCACCAAAAGCAAACAGACAGAAGAGCGTTGCCACTTGTCCAACTCTGCCTTGGCGCCCTATGTATCATCCCAACGACCAGGTCGCTCTCCGCGTTTAAAACTTGTTTTTACTCTTGGTCCATTCTATGTAATCATCGTACTGTTAAAACAACAAACAAGAAAATGAACACTCTGACGGCATATTCTATGACCAAAGAATGTACCGTAAGGCTATTCATTTGCTATTTTAAGAGAATACTTTGTACTTATGTAAAGTACTTCATTAAAGAAAGTCATCATCATTACTTCTCCTTTCTCAGCATTAGTACTTGCACCTTGAAGAATGGGGGGTGAGGTAATACTAGTTGCCGTTGATGCCAGTATAGAAATAAGCAATGATTATGCACTGAACTGGGCATTACAAAATGTTATTAAGGCTGAAGACATCTTAATACTGCTTGCTGTTCTTCCTTCCTGTGGAAGTCCTACACCAACTTTATCCCAAAGGCTTCATTCTCTATCATGTTATTTTCTTGCTTGTAAGTTTTCACCATTCTACTATCCTTCAGTTTCTTTTTCTTTATCTAGCTTTTGGCCGGGTAAGAGTATGGTGCTTTGACAGGCGGTTCGGGGCACATTGAAGGGAGAAGAACTTTTGATCAAGTTGGCCAAAGTAAAAGGGTTATCTCCCGCAAAATAAACTATGTATATGCCAATAAGATGCAGAAGTTATGGTTAGCCAACAATCTGATGCAGGTATTATGTTTAAGACTTCTATTTCTTCACCATACAGCCTAAAGTTTGATGGGTTCTTCTCAATTTCTAACTATTGTGTTGTCCTAGGTGCATTTCGAAGTGAAAGTTATTGTTGATGCTGGCCTTGGCTCAGTAGCCACAAAAGCCAAAGAACTGAAAGCTTCGTGGGTGATACTTGATAGGTACTCTGTCACTTGCTTTTTATCTTATTATTATTCACAGATTTGGTATTTGAAGGCATTAATGAGTAAACAATATGCCAACAATAACACATTTTTAAAATTGTAGATTCCTGAATAAGGAAGTTGCTCAGTGCATAAAACAGCTGAACTGCAATGTTGTACTCATGGATCATGCTATTCCTAGAATCCTTAAAACGGTAAACCCATTGGCAGGAGAAAACTTAAATACGGGTAGGAGCCAAAGTAAGGCAACAGAAACAGACATGATTCATGTGATTCCTAATATCTTGGATTACGGAAGTGCAACAACTCCAAGCACTTCTGATATTAGAAGTTCCACTTTGGGAACTAATTCTTTCTCGTTGCCCAGTACAGAAAAAGAATACCACCGCAAAACCAACCCTTGCACTATCAATGATTCTCATTCTTTTCTTCATCTAAACTCCGAATACTTCAGTGAAGATTTTAAGTACCTGGAAGACAACCCTTCACCTTTAGATAACAAATACGTTCATTTAAATAAGATTTTGAGTGGCGGTATTGATGAATTGAATCACAAATCAGCCACTAGTCCCCTTCAGGAAGAAGCAGAGAACTGCAATGACATTTTAAGGACTAAAATCTGTAAGAGATTCCATTCCATGATCTATAGTCATTGAATTATCAAAAATAGAAATATATTCAATGTATAAAGTTAATTTCTTGGGCATTCATGAATCTTGAAACAGCTGAGAGAAAGCATAATTTTGAAAGAACAGACATTTTAACTAGAAGATTAACGGACTCACCAGGCAAATGGCATGGACCAAATAGCACAATTCAGCCAAAAAGATCAACCACTAGAAGAGACTCCATGACTTCTTACAAGCATGAATCATTGTCTTCCCTTTCTTTTGCTACATCTGACAGCAACTCAATGGCCATGTCACTTTCCATAAAAAATCATTCAGCTCTTTGCTCCATCTGCAAACATAAGATCCCTATTTTCAGAAGTGTGCCAAGGAGGTTTACCTACAGAGAGATAGAAAATGCAACAGGTCGATTCTCAGACAGTTACATGATGGCAGATGGTGGGTATAGTTGCGTGTATAGAGGGGAATTGCCAGATGGACAGGTCATTGCAGTGAAGCAGTACAAGAAACTCAAGTCATTTTCAGCATCAGAATTCTGTTTAGAAGTTGAAAAACTTAGCTGTGCTCAGCACAGGAATCTGCTTATTTTAATGGGCTATTGCATCGACACGGAATGGCTTCTAATATACGAATTTGCTTGCAATGGTTCTTTAGACAAGCACCTATACGGTAGGATTGAAATTGGTGTCAAAGATATTATTAATAACATTTATATGCAGTTATGAACATATGCAAATGTTGCATTCCAATGCTTGTAGGAACAGAAACAAACCAGGTGATGGCTTGGCATGATAGAATGAAAGTTGCGGTAGGCACTGCAAGAGGCTTGAGATACCTCCATGAAGATTGCCGAGCAGGTTGCATTGTACATGGAGACTTAAGACCGAGTAACATTCTCCTCACTCATGACTTTGAGCCCATGGTTAGAGCTTATTCATTTTTATGTTTCATTTTAGGATTTGGACAATCTAAATGTAGAAATCAGTATGAGTATTGATTCAGTAGAGAATAAATGATCCTAATAATTACGTGTCATTTGATGAAGATTGGAGATTTTGGTCTTGCAAGATGGCAAATTAATCCGCAATTAGCTAAGGAGAGTACACATCTAATTGGTACAGTTGGGTACGAAACTCCATCTAATGACAAGATTTTCAGTCAATGTAATATGAGCATGTCATATTATAATAACTTTTTTGTATTATATTTATGTAGTTACTTGTCTCCTGAATACATACAAACCGGCCAAGTCTCAGAGAAAGTTGATGTCTATGCATTTGGAGTTATTTTGTTGGAGCTTCTAAGTGGCTTTAACGCCAGAGAGTTCTCAGGAAAAACAGGCAAACAATCGCTATCAGAATGGGTGAGTTTCCTCCTCTGATAACAAAGACAAAGGATATTTACAATTTAAGCTACTTAGCATAACTTTGCTTGGCCTTGAATGTTTCAGAGTAATACCATGCTTGAGAAGAATAAACCAAATGAGTTAATAGATTCTAGATTGAATAATAACTATGTGGAAAAAGAAGCAGAGTCCATGATGCATGCAGCTTATTTATGCGTTTCACCTCATCCAGCACAACGACCAAGAATGTCCCAGGTTCTAATATTCTTAGCCAAATTTTAGCATATATATTCTGAAAATTCTCCTAACATCATTGTAATTTTTCACCTGCAAGTTTGTAACTACTTATAAGGCATTGTTTAATTGACAGGTATTGAAAATACTAGAAGGAGATATACCCATTGACGGTGCTTCCATGTATCGAAGTTCTAAAATATCTGACAATGGATCAGTTGGATCAATCAAACGTACAAAGGATCATAGAAAGCTTAGTCAAAGTAATAAGACAAATTTGCACGTAAAAAAGACCTTAGATAGCACTTCTAATATAAAGGGGTGCTCTAATCAAATTGGAGAGAATGGCATCACATGGGAATCTGAATCTGTTACCAATCTAGATTATGAAAGCTACTTAAGAGGATCCTTAGCCAAATATGTTCAAAACTTCAGTTGACATAATGGGACTGTAAAATATTCTTTTGTAAGCAAGCATTTTATATCGAATAATAATATTCTCATAAAAATAATATTTTTCATTTTTCTTATAATATTTTATCTAACATTTTTTATTATATTATTTATCTTATTTTACACGTCTTTCTTCTCTGTTTACCTCATTCTTTAGTATAAATGTTATTGTAAAAAACATACTTTGAAATAATATTACACTTGTGTAGTTAAATTCATTTTTAAAAGAGGAGTGATTTTTTAAAATTTTCGCTCCCATTAATAGTCGGATGGATGCTGCAAGTTGATGGATTTTGTTATTCTCAAGAAATGACACATCCAAATATTTTATGTATGACATGTTTGAAATGTTTAATTTGAGACAAACAAAATTTCAATTTCAACCCTTTTATTTTTTTTAAAATTTCAAGCACATAAAGTGTCATGTTTGTCCAATTTCAATCGTTTTCCGACCTGTGGTTGCAAGAAAGCACCTAGTCATTGAAAATTGCCGAATGTTATATGTCAGTAAAAGAAATTAAGAGAATGATGCCATTTCAAATGTTTTCAGAAAAGAAAAACATGCAACAATAAAATTAAACCAAACATTTATCCTTACTTCAGCACTTTTTGTAGATGAAGGGAAATTTTGCATAGAAAAAAGGGGAAAAATCTGCTGAAAATAGTTGCATTAAAATGTGTTTCAAAATTATAAAGCGTAAGAATTGAATTCAAGCAATAAATCACACATGCAATTTTATTGATAGAATTATATTAGAAATAACAGTAAAATATATTGGCAACTTTTTTTATTTTTATTTCTTAATTAACACCTCACACTTGATAGCATTCACTGTATAAACAAAAATGAAATGATTTACTAATATCAATTATCAATTTAAAACAACAATGAGCTTTACTGCTACTAGTTTCTTTCTTTTTCATCTCTCTTTATTGGCTTTACTTCGGATTTTAAAAAGAAGACTGCTAACAGCTATTAGAAAATCATTATATTAAAAAGTCTTAAGTTGATTTATCATTTTTCAATATCAACCTCATCACCTTCGCAAAACATCGAATTTATTTGAAAACGAAAAATGGAATTTATTCAGCTAAGGTGTTGTATTTACAGTTGTAGGATACAAGTAGGATCCACTGTATCCTCACCATCACCAATCTATTTTATGTTTTCAATATCCCTGGCATTAATTATTAACAACTTATCATTAATTAACATTATATAATTAACAAATGGTTAAAGTTTGGTTGTTTTAAAGTCAGTAAAAATTATTTAAATATAAATAAATTTTAAATTTTAAACCTAATTAAAATATGTATTAAAATTAACTTTAATTATTGATAAGAAGTATAGAAATGATTTAAAAAAATACTAACTCAGGGTCATAAAGATATGTTTAAAAAATAAAAGTAAATTGTTTTATTAAAAAAATGTGATAATGCACTCTTAACATAATTTTAATAATTTTTTATTTATTAATTTCTTAGTTAACATCTTAAGAACGTTAGTTAATAAGACTATTAATTTATAGCAATAAAAAATATATATATATTATTTGTATTTATTTATCTAGAGAAAAAATTATACTTATAAAAAAATTTGATCATTTTATTTATATTATTTAGTTTCTTTCTTAATGTATCCTTTATTTATTTTATCACATAATCTCTTTTTGACCTTTACATTATTTAAACTATATAAATATTTTATATATTGTAATTTAAACTTTCATCTAAACAAATAGTATTAATAATAAACATAAATAACAAATGTTTTCTTTAATAAAAAAAAAAGTTATTTTAGAAAGGGTATTTGGCAGTCCGTTGAATCTGGGTTAAAGGATGAGATTGGCCAACTTTTTCTTCTTATTTGACAAGTTTAAAACATAAAAACATATAAATGTGTGTATTTTTATATTTATTTCATTTTCTTTTTCTTTCATCATTCTTCTCTTTTATCCAATTCCCGTGAACCTCAACAGTGAAAGTTTGGGAGCAGCTATAAGTATTCAGATTCCAAGTATTTCAGATGGAAATTGTTTTGTAAAATATTTACACTTGGACAAAGAAAGAAATAAAAAAAAAAGTGTTAAATACGAAAAGTTATATAATATAACGAAGAAAAAGAGAGAGAAATATTGAATATAAAATTGTATAAAATAAAAACGATTTCCAAATGAGTCATACTTTGGTACAGTAACAAATACCCCACCTTTATGCAACAGTAACTGACGGCCCAATTGTAACCATTAGACATTAGACATGGACGTGAGATTGAGGGGTACCCATCCCATACTGTACTTGGCTGCCACTCGTTGAACATCATCATCAACTCATTCACGCTATAAATTAATACACTTCTTCTCCTACCACCATTCACACTCTATCATTATCATATATTTTACTTTACTTTTCACTTTTCACACTAAACTGCCTCGGCTTTTATTGGGAAGGAATGGATGTAATTAAGCTTCTTTTGTTGGGTTCATAGCTAGGGAATAGGGATATATTATTTAAGTTAATTCATGCATGTGTTTGATGATGATATATAGGAATGGGAGAGATGCGCAACGATTCCAGCGTTTGGCAACTGGGATTTCGCCAATGAGCTCCCAATCACTCGCTATTTCGAGTGTGCCAGACACACCGGTTTACCCCGTTACAGTTCTTCCTCAGCCGAAATTGCTTGTGCCAATCATCATCGTCATCACCTTCCACTACGTAATCATCATAAACAGGTTTCCTTAATTTCATCCTCAAATTCATGCAGCATCATCATCATCATCATCATCATTCAAATTTGTTAAAATTACGCAATTATATGTACTTCATGGTATAGGAGAAGAGGAACAAGGAAAGACGGTGCCAGCATGTTAATGATAGCAAAGGAAATGCTTACGACGTAAGGGAACATACCAAGAAGCCAATTAGAGTGAGCAAGCAGCAGCAACAAAACGACACCGTTGCACCACTTCCCAAACCAGTAGTTGACGAAGATCTCTATAAGATCCCTCCTGAACTCCTCCACGCAGCCAACAAAAGGGTGCCTCACCTGACCCAACTTTTCTATCTTCTACTCTTTTATATACCATATTTGTGTTATTACTAATTTAATTTTTTGGCATAATTAATTTGTGAATTTGTAGAAGAAAATGCTGGGTTTCATTTCCAAGTGTCTTGTGTGTGATGAGCAATGCTAAGCTGCAACTCCTATCCATCCTAAGCTTGGTTTCATTTTTATTGGCCGTAGTTCTTCCTTCAAGTCAAGTCAGTTTACGATATATTCTGATACTGTTTGTAAGCATTATGTGATAGACTCAATGTCCGAATGTCTTTCCTTAGAATAATGATGCATATATGTAAACCTGTGAGGTGGGGATAAGGATAAGAGGCTTGGAAAAGGAAAGAAAAAGAAACTTGATGGTTGACATAATAAGAAAAATAAAAGAAAAGAAAAGATAAAGAAGATGGTATAAGAAAATAGAAGTATATAATTGACGTTAATAGTCAAGGCACCTATTGGTGGCGGTGAAGTTTCCTGTTTCTTTTTTTGGAATCAATCATTTGGCAGTCTGCATTCATGCATTGACTACTCATCAATCCACTGTCACTCTCAAGGACAATAGAACTTTTGTTTGCCAAAGAATAGGGATGGATGTTTTCATTTTACTTGAAACGAAGTAATGTGTCATAATTGAAAAAATAAAGTTCAAATTTAGAGATGACGGGTGATATAAATCGTTATTCTATTCCTATTTTTGCCGGACAAAATTTTGTTGCTCACTTCCATTTTCTTTTGCTGATAATCACTAAATGAACATTTTTTTATCTCTGACATCTCTGACACACTGATAATAACGAACACAAATGCAACCTGTCATCGCTGGAAATTGGTTATCTATAAACTTGAGTTCGATGTCAAATAAGGTAAATGAAGAATAAGACCACAACTGCAATTTCTTGTAGAGAATAAAACTTGTTGAAAAAGAAGAAAACTATGACACCATACATTCATTGATGTGGCCTATTGCTAGTGAAGCTACAGCCACATGCAAGAAATTCATTTGCAAAGAGGGATTTATAATTTCCTAGCGGACAAATTTGAGCAGGTCAAGAACAATGTTGGCTATCGTCTTGGCCCTTGGAGTCCCAGACACTGCAAGATTAGAGAGTGAATGGTGTTCTTCTTCCTCGGCATTAATTTCTAGCAACTTTAAAGGATGGTGTTTACAGATGCTATGGAGAATTGAAATAGAGTATTCCTTGATGAGTGACCCCGGGTTCTCCCTTAACAGATCGAGTAATAAGGGAACAGCCTCATTACCAACCAATGCATCAACAGCACTTAAATGGCCAGCGAGAAGTGCAAGTAGAGACATCATCTGTTTAACTTGGATGTTGTTTATGATCTTGTCAATAATAATTTCCACTATCCCTTCTTCTACACTCCACTCTTTAACTACATCTTCCAAACATAGGTTGAATAAAGCCGAAGCAGCATTTTTTGATGCTGATTCATTTTCACTATCTAACAGCCGCACCAAATGGTCCAAAGCGTCAGATGTTCCAAACATGAGCCTATTGGGTTGATCGGATGACAACAAGAAAATGGTAAAAGCTGCATTGCTTCTTGCTCTGATGCTTCCTGATCTCACTGAATCAGTGAGCAAGGAAGTGATCTTCTTATCCTTTACAAATATTTTTCTGTTGTCTTCAAGAATTGAAGCATTTAGAACGGTTGTGACCAAGTCCTCGTGGATTTGAGGGTGAACACAATGAATGCCACCTGATAATGGACTGAGCAAGAGATGAATCACTTCTTCGTTCCCAAAGAGTTCTCGAAATGGTGGGACTCGCTCTGTTAGCTGGCGAAGCTCTTTTGCAGCTTTTAACTGTTGAGGTTCAGAGAGTGACAACTGGTAAAGCGAAGAATGCAAGCGGTGCTTGTGGTCTTCAGTTAGTTTTGCATAATCACTGTCTTCTATCGCAACTCCATTCTCTTCACACCACTTCGAAATCAAGCATTGGGCTGAATTGTTGGGAGCAAGGGTACAGTCAGAAATGATTCGCTTTGTCTGATCGAAAAGTCTGTTCACATCATCCGTCCACTTCTCAATCGATTTCCGATCATAAGTCTGCACCATCCAAATAATTCATTTAGTTCTACGACAACGAGGACCACCTTTCCATATCAAGACAATCTTTCTAACATGTTTTGTAATGAATAATTTTCAATTTTTCTATCTTTTATTTCTGTAAATTCTCTTAATTATGCTAACAAGTGCTCTTAAGTTACTATTTGAAGAATCAAAATATATTTTTTTTATAAGAAAATATAATAAATATAACTCCTCTGACGATTTTGAATACAATCTATGTTAAAAGAATGAAAGATGAAGAGGGTTAGACTAAAGATACAAGCGTAAAGAAAAAGATAACTGTGATATGTATCTTAAAAGAAAGAATGATCAAGAGGGTGAGTGAGAGAGAATGGAGAAACCTCATTGTTGATCAAGAAAACAGGATCTGTGATTAAGCGACCAGAGAGGGAACATTGAAACTCTGGGGGAACAGTCAAGTTGCCCAAGATGGAGGAGTACTTAAAATCCTTGAGAGTCTTAAGAGCTTGGATTGCATCGTCGAAGGCTAATAGTGAGGTGCCATCGTCCTCCACGATGCTATTCATCAATTCCCGCAACTTCGCCTTCAATCTTGTTCTGTTGTCCTCGGCGCCCATTCCCTTTTCTTCAGAGTTAAAGAGCGTTGATGAATCTTGATAACAGAATTACGAAGACTAGGTGTTGCATGTAGAGCATAATGTTTGGGAAAAAGACAAATATCGTTCCAGTTATAACGGCGCTGTGTAAAAAAAAAAGAAGAAAAAAAAAAAGAAAAAAGAAGCCTGATTAAGACATATTTTACCTATTTTGGTAAAAAAAAAAAAAGTGTAAGGAAAAGGTTCAATACTCTTGTATAACTGAAGTTAGTGATCATCACAATTTTTGTGAAGTTTTTTTTAAACATAAGAGAATTAAAAAAAAACACTAGTTTTAAGTTGAAAAAAGATGATTTCTCAACAAGTTTTGATAAAGATAGTAAAAGGAATTTTTGCCAAAAGGGTAACATATTGAGGATCACTATTAGAAATACTAGATAGATTTTTTTTTTCTTGAATTTAGAGATGATAATTAAAAAAATTGAATTTTTTTAAAATTTTTTAAGTAAATTAGTCTATAATACGGATAGAAAAAAATTATCTATAAAATTTGTCAATAAACATTTATTATAGAAAAAAATTATAGGCAACTAAAAGAGATTAGTCCAAGTAACAAGAGGTTTGATATCGCTTAAACAAGGTCCTAAGTTTGAGTATTTATGTAATGTATGCAAAAAAAAATTTAATAATTTAAAAATAAGACAAAAAATAAGAATTGTCGATAGAATCCCTCTTTAATAATGTGTAGTTATAGATAGAAAAATCTATCTATAATGTGCACCATTTTTCTCTGTCTCTCTCTCATCTTTCTCTATCATCTTCAATTTTTTGTCTATTGTTGATGGTTGGAGCATTCATTTTGAAAACAAATTGTATCATTGTATTCTTAGTACGATTCTCTAACTTTTAATTAATGTAGTTTTTTTTATTTTTTATGTAGAATAAAGACTTGTGATTTTTAAGATAGAGTTGTAGAACTAAAGATTGCATGACTAGGAGATATGCATAGAGGTCCTTCCCGAATTGTTTGTACTATTTGTTGTAGATTATTTGTGTTTGCAGAGATTATAGAATATGCATGTTGTAAAATTATAAGAGATGCAATTTCAAATAATTTTATATTGAAATTTGTATGTTTAGGGTTTATTTATCAATATATTTTACGATTAAAACTTGATCTTCTTTGTTGTTTAAGCTATCTGCACACTAGCTTGTTGTAGGCTCTTGAAACATGTTTGATTAAATAAAGATATTAATTTTTATATAAAACACATTTCCTTAGCATGATGGGTGCAAAGGAAAAATATAGGGGAAAAGTTGGATGGGATGATTGGCATATGATTTTAATTTGACCTTATTTTGATTATTATATTACATTCACTAGACAAACAAAACTAACCGAATTTTACTATTTTCATAAAAGTATCTGCTTTTAATCATGCTTTGTGTTGGTTTAAGTAAGCAATTGAGTTGCATGATTTATGAAAAGGAGAAACTAAGGTTCTTTTGTATCTTTTGAAGTATTGGCAACTTCATAATCGCATGGATTAAGTAAATGGTTAAAAAGGGAAGAAAAAAATAGATTGGTATCCAGTGACAAGAAGTCCTTCAAATGAAGATCAAGTGGTGCATCTACAATCAATTTGAATAATACACCAAATTTTTGCCACTTTTGTTTGGCCCTTTGTTGAATTCAATTTACTAAAATGAGTTTTACTAAGGTAAGCATGTAGTGAATACTTTTATTCCAGATGAATCCAAGTAAGATAAAATATGATATTAAAAATTATAATTTTACTAATTTAATATACATAATTAAATATTCATACATTATGAGAGATTCTACTGAAATTTACATTAGAAATTCATGTAATGTAAAATAAAAGATATTCATACACTATTTTGTACTTGTATTAGATTTGATTCATGTATGGTAGGTAAATGTAAGAAATGTGTTACTTAGTGTTCTGCTTGTGGCAGTACTTCTCCATCAATCACTCCCACTTTTACCTCCACACCAGCTGCAGTGTAGACCTCCCAAGATAGAGAACAAGAGCGATTCATCATGGTGCTCAACTCTAGGTATGTATCTCATGCCCCTCCAGTATAATTAGTTTCACAGTCTGCACTGTTGACTACATATGCCATATTATCTCCCTCTACACTACGCATAGGCAAGGAATCCATTATTGTTACATCTTCCTATGGACAATAATCACAAATCCAGACACCATTGAGACTGCTTCTTGGTTTAAGATGGGATGGATCCTCTTGGTAAGTTATTAACAAAATATGGCATAAAACTTTATTTGATGTGAATGTTATCATAATTTTGTTATTTTATTGTGTGTTTAGTTGATATTCACCACAAAAGGGTATCGACCAAGTAACGGATACCATTAAAAAGATGTTAAGATGTTGATGCGCCTTATATACCAATTTTGCTAAGGTGCCTAAGAATACAAAGATGGAGTGGTTCAAAGA